CATACAGACTGTATAGAATGGCTGCTGAGATCTTGTTCAGCAAAGGAAGCCTCTAAGGAGGCTCTTTAGAAAGCCCCTCTAGTCTCAAGCCAGCTGATCTACTTCTTGGGCTCCTGTAACCATGTGTAAGATTTCAAACACAGAAATTGTGCTCAGTGTTGAAAATTAGCAAGGGTTATCCTGAGATTCTAAGTGGGCAGTTCCCTGACTGATGAGTTTCCTGTCACCTGTAAGCAGGCCAAGACCAAGGAACACCGAAAAGGAGACCCCAACATCATCCAGGACCAGATTCAGTACAATAGTGATGATGATGATGATGGTAGTGATGTTGACAGTGATAAATATTAACTATGGTTTATTAAGAGGCTGAAAAGTGTCAGGAATTGTAAATATTAGTTCTTTTTATTATTTTTTTTAAAAAAATTACCAAAGTCAAGCTCTTAAATAGGCTAAATGATACAAAGAAAGAGCTCAAATCACAGTTACAAACCTGAGGCTCATAAGGGTAGATGACCTAGCAGTCAAGGCACAACTAAAGGAGTTACAGTCTCTGTGTCCAAAATGGACAGTGGATAAATCACTGTCCTACCTACTGTGTTTCTTCATTTCCTGTTGCTGCTATAGAGAGTGTCCCACATAATTGATTCTAGCCCCACATGTACACACATACATGAGTACATACATGCATGCATATTGATGCATTCACACCTTACATAATGTATCCACATACAACTGCACAGGCACACACAAATGCACATATGCACATGTCTATGTACACACATGTATGTGCACACACATGTGCACATACGCACATACTTTACACATATTTTCCCTACAGTTTTAGATGTCAGAAACCTGAACTGTGTCTGCTGACCTGAACATGTCAGCTCCTCCTGGAGGCTGTGCTGGAGAATCTGTTGCCTGGTCTCTCCCACTTCTAGTGGCTGTTACAGCCCATCCCTTTTGGCCCTTCCTTCTCTGTAAGCCCTGCCTGGTTTCCATCATCCAATCTCCCATGATTTGCCTGCCCCTCTCCTTCACTCTAAAACACCTGTGTTCACAGTGGGTCCACCAGCATACTCCAGAACACTCTGGAGACCCTTGACTCACCCTCACATAAAAGGTAGGTGAGGAATATGGTTCCACAAATTCACAGGTCCTAGGGACTTGACCATAGGCAGCTTTGGGTGCACAATGGGAAGAGCATATTTAGTTTGTGTCTCAACAGCAGGAAGCCTGGCCCAAAGGTGGCTCCAAAATAGTGGCATTAGGGGCATAGACTCTTCCTTCTGTGACTTTCGTCTTTGTCCTCATCACCTCTTGGTCACAGGACAGATGTTACAGCTCTTGGCATCATATCCTCATAAATGCATGACCAAACAGGAAGGACAGCAGTAGGCCTTCTGTCCCATTTTTCACTTGTCAAAGAGGTCTTACTGGCTGGCTTAGACTCTACAGCCTTCCACCTGCAACTCCTGCTTCGAGCAGGCCTTGGACCAAGGGTTAACAGACCTGGGCAGCCTGAAAAGCAGCCAATGAAAGAAAGATAGTTTCATGTTCTAAACCCAGTCGACCACATGGTCCAGGCTCCAAGCCCTGTACCAGTAGTTTCTAAAGGCTGGAGGAACAGGATGTGGGGAACAAGAATCCTTGATCTGATCATCTGTGTACCTGTAGGGCTGCACACAGACAATGCTAGGTTGTGTCTGCAGACCCAGTTAGGGACTTAACAGATGTGGGGAGTGGGGGCTGAGGCTCTCAAACACCAGGCTCAGGCAACTGGAGCAGCAGTGGGAGCATCTGGGGCTCTCAACACTGATGGGGGCTTCAGGGGTACAGGATGGTAGAATGGCAGGCTAGAGGCAGTAAGGATGCAAGCAGCCAGGGATGCAGAAGCAGACTGGAGCTCAAACCCCAGCTGACTGATGCCAAGGCACACAGTGGGTACTCAGTAAGTGATGCTGACCCTCTATTACACCCCATGCCAATCCCAGCCAGCCCTGCAAGCACTTCTTCCTCAAGAGGGCTTCGCCAGCTCTGTTGGAACTCAACTTTGCCAAATCAATGATCAATATGCAATGGATTCAGTCTGCAGGCTGGGGCGCCAGGAGCCGGCCTGGCTGCCGGATTCCTGCCACATTCTGACAAGACAGATTGGTCTCTGGAATTCTTCAGGGAGAGGTAGGGAGGGAAGCAAACTTCAGTTTTCCCTGGCTCATCTTTAAAACTGAAATTGCACATAAACATAGGGAGAAAAAAATCCTCAGCTTCACTCCAAAGAAAAATATGTCCTTTTGGTCTTGAGACAAGAGAGCCAGCTCTGTTTCCCTGACTCTGTCACCAGCTGGAGCTAAGTGAAATGGGGTATCTCCCTGACCCTGGCTCTCCTCAGCACCTACAGGCACCAATCAGAGACAAAGATGGGCAGGTCAGACATGACACTCCCTCAGGGAGAGGGAGTATCTGAGAGTCAGCACAGCTCTTTGAGGCAGTGGTGTGATGTGTTCATTCCACAGGCAGGGAAACTGAGGCCTGGGAATGGGGAGGGTCTCTTAGCCGCCAAGCAGCAAAGACATACATACATACATAACTGGGAGCTTAAATTCACATTTGATGATGCCACTACCTTCAGAATCAAGGTGTGCATGGTGGCACACACAACATATGTGCATGGGCATACTGTGTGCATGTATGCTTATGTGTGAATATGTGCATACATTGTGTGTGAATATGTGCTCCTCATGTGGGTACGTACACCTGTACATGTGTGTGCATACATGCCTTTAACTGGTACTTACGGGTGCAGATACACATATGTGTCTGGAAAAATACACAGGTACACTGTAAAGCATATAAAGGTATGTATGCACACACATGATGTAAGTGTATGAATGTATACATACAAGTGGTATGTAGGCACACATGTATGTATAAAGGGGTGCACACGCACACACACACACATGTAAACGTAAGCACATTTTCATGGGCATTTATGTCTATAGACAAGGGGTATATGCATAAACACTTGAATAAACATACTCATGTGGGTGCATGTACATGAATATGTGTATGCATGAGTCCATGGGGGAGTGATGTGCGTATGTGTTCATGCATAGCTGTGAGGGCAGCAGTGTAATTCAAGGACACCAGCTCCCATCAGCACCTGCCAGGGCTACTCAGCAGCATGTGCACTGCACCCAGGATTCATCCAGAGACATTTAGCAGGCCTGGCATGTAATTGAGGGCCCAGGACCCAACATCCAGGCACTATATGGCTCTGATTGGACCAACCCCACCCTTCTAGGCATCACTCATCAGTATGTTTCTGAATGCCCAGGATACTTCACTTCATAAGGCTTTCCTTCTGAAATGTACCAGGACCTCCCCAGCATGCCTCCACATAGGGTTACAGACACACCCATTGTTGTCAGTGTGGCCTGCCACAAACTGTTCTTGAACCGGTCTTTGAGGGACACAAATTGCTTGCCTGCCACAGAACAACCAGACGCAGACTGTTGGGTCTAATTGGCTGTCTCTGGGCAAAGGGGCTCATCCAGCCTCTTAATAAAGTCCCTGCCATCCCAAGAGGCCTCACCACCTGTCCCAAATGCAGCCAAGGGCTCCCAACCTAAGGGCTAAGAGAAGACTCCTCAACTCTTACCTCTGGCTGCTGATCCCAGAGTAGAGGTGTGGTCAGCATCCCTATGGCATGTACCATCCCCAAGGCCCAGGTCACTCACTGGCAAGGCCTCCAGATGTCCTGGCGAGGTCGACCCTGCACACTGTTCCCAGGGCTGATCCTTTGACTTTATGTCTTGTGTCTAGACAGCCATCTCTTGTAAGCATGAGGCTGCTCACAGTCAGGGACTGGATCAACTACCTGTTGTCCCTGCTGTTTCTCACGAGAGGGTTCCTCTCTGATCCAGGAGGACCACAGTGCCGCCTGCAGGGGGAGAAGCCATCTCTCTTCAACACTTGTATCTGACCAGTGCCCACTTGCCCTTCTCCTCATCTTCCTTTGGATCCCCTCAGCTCCAGGACCAAGTCAGCCACTCCAGGGAACATTCTCACCTAGGAAGCATCCCATTGGAAGGAGCATCCACATACCTAAGGAGCACTCTGTCCTAGGCAGCATTCACACACTAGGGACTACCTCAGCCCCTCGGGAGCACAGCCCACATGCTGTCACCTCCTCTCAGGAGCTTCCCTAGACAGTCATAAACGTCACACACAAGACTGATGATGGGGCTGTGGTGTGGAGGCTTCCACACAAACCAGCTGAAGTTGTTCTGATCAGTGGCCCCAGTTAGGGCGGCAGGAGAAGGACCTTTTCAATAGCCATGGTGACTCTTCCTCCCAGGCCACATTCTCAGATGACAGCACAGGGCACTTTGCTACTCCTGAGTGAGAAGTAGCCAGGATGGGCATCGGGAACCATGTCCTGCATGGACACAGGACTCAGGACAGGCCCCTGGTCTGAACTGTTTAACTTCTGCCTGATCCTAGTTGGGCACCCCTGCCCTGAGGGTAGGCTCTGTGGATCCCCTAGGGTTGCAGTACTCCCAAGGAGGCTGCACTGTCTTCAAGAAGAACTGCAGACCAGAGACAAAGACTGAGCTCAGGGAGAAGCAGCCACCAGAGCAGGCATAAATCCAGGTCATTGCTCCTCGCGATGACTTTCAGGGCACCAAAACCCCTCTGCCAGTGGGTTGGCAGCTCCCCTCTCTTTCCCGTCTATCTGACTGTGTAGGGAGAGGTACTGGTCAGCCTTGATGAGGAGAATGGTCCTCCTTCTTCAGTCCTAGCACAGAAATGTTAAGTTTGAGAACTCCAGTTTATTCCCTTGTCCCCTCCTCCCTAGAGCTCTGTCTCTGGAGACCTGAGGCTGCCTGGGGGCAGCGACCAGGCCACGGTGACAGGACCACTATGAAATGGGCACATGAGATATCCCCAGCATTTGCTCGCTGTCCCTTGAACTCGCTCCCATAAAATCGCCCAGCATGGGGCAGGTCAGTCCAGAGTTTGTCAAAGGCGGTGATCTTGAGTGTCCTCTATAGTTTTAAAAAGCAGGGTGGCACAGCATAAAGACTAAATTTCAACAATTGCCAACAATGGTATAGAGCTTGGGAGCCTGATCTGGGCCTCCACTGACACCGCGGTTATGATTCACGATCCCACAGCACTGGGAGGTGCGCAGAGGAGGGATCTGAGGCCGACTGAGGAGGTGGCTCAGCAGGGGTGCAGGGACCCGAAGCTCTACTGGAACGATGCGCACAGGCGGTGTTGCGTTCTCTGCCACGCTGCTACAGGCTCACCCTCCAATC